GCATCCTAACATTGCTTTAGTGACCACACGTCCCTTAATCGAATTGACCCTAAAACTCCAACGACGATGCTACCTACTCCTCAATAGTGGGGTATCGTTGTCTAAAGGACATTTGCACAAATTAATTCTTTTTTCGAGTAGGTAGATGGTTCTTAAGTACTTGCTCCTTTTAAAACAAAACAAAACTTTTCGCACTTACACTCCTTTCAAACAAAAAAACTCTTTCACACCCACAAACACAAAGAAGAGCAATTTTTGAAAACACTTTGAGCAAGTACCTAAGAGCCTGTGGATAACCACGGATAGAAAGGGTGCTAACACCTTCCCTTTCTATAATCTACCTCCCGGACCCGAGAAACATCTCGAAAAAGGAATTTTTCTGTGCTTTTTTCTCTTCTTTGTTGGATAAAATAAAAGACGGTGACGACTCTTGCTCACCGCGACATTTTGCAAAAACAAACGCAAAACGCGAACCAGCATTCAAAAACAGTCAGTTCTCTTCCCACTGATCACACCTGTGAGTTCTTCTTTGGTCGGCATTATTTTCCTTAAATCCACCTTCGGCTGATGCCTTTTGTTAAGAGTCCCCTTCGGCTAGTCTCTTTTCATTTGTAAGTTATCCTTTTATCGGTGTTATTTTCTTAGGAATCTACCTTCGACATAGTATTCCTTGTTAAAGATTCCCATTCGACTGGTTTCTTTATCTTGAAGTCCACCTTCGACTGGTATCATTTATTAAGAGTTCCCTTCGGCTGGCCTCGTTTCTTTGTATGTTCTCCTTCGATCGGCGTTCTATTCAGAGTCAATGTTTGTTTGTATCCCCAGTAAGTTCGCCTTCGATTGGTGTTTCTTCGTTATAGCCTTCTTTTGTCGGTCTCTTTCTTGTATATATCTAAATCTGGCCTGACATATGTCTCCATTATCTTTGTTAAGAGTCTACCTTCGGCTAGTCTTCTTTTCATTATGGAATTCTCCTTTGATCGGCGTTAATTTCTTAGGAGTCTAGCTTCGGCTTAGCCTCTTTGTTGATTTGCCTTTGTGCAGGCATCCTTTGTTAAGAGTCTACTTTGGTCGGTCTCTTTCTTATATGTTTCTAACTCTGACCAGACACATATTTTATCCCCAATTCTCCTTCAATTGGTGTTCTTTCTCCAGGAGTCTATTTGCGGTTAGCATTCCTTGTTGGAACCTTCTTCAGTCGGCCTCTTCCTTGTTTGCACATGTCTAATTTCACCTGGCATGTACCCAATATCTTTTTTATGTTTGCTACCAACCCCGGGCATGTTTATTCGATATCTGATATATGTGTCTTTTCCTTCGAACATATTTTGTTGGTATCTTTGATAGGTTTTTCTTTGGTTAGTCCTTGTCGTATATTCGCTACCAACTCCAAACATATATTTGTGACATCTTTGTTAAGAGTCTACCTCTGGCTAGTTTCTTCTATCTATATGTATTCCCTCGGCCACATACATTCAACTCCCGGGTTGTCAGATTTGTCTTTTCTCTGATCTTGAATCGTGAGTTTATTAACTCATTTCCTCTCTGGTCCCTGAATTGTGATTTTGTCAATTTGTTTCTTCTTCGATCCCTGAATCATGAGTTTGTCAATGTGTTTCTTCTCCGATTCCTAAATCGTGAGTATGTTAATTTTATTTCTTCCCCGACTTCTAAGTCACAAGTCTATCAATTTGATTCTCCTGTGATCCCTGAATCATGAGTTTGTCGTATGTGTTTTCTCCTTTGATCCCTTACTTCGTTTAAGTCGGTCGCCTTCTTGCCCCTCTCATAAGGGAATTCCTTATCTCCATGTAGGTCCTCGTGGGTCGTGTCCAAACGTTATTGACATAACTTTGTTTTCGGGCTAGATGTTTCTATTTCTTATTCGATGTCGTCCTTTTACGATTCTCTACTCATTGGACTTGTTACAATCCAGTTCTTTCCTAGAGTAGCATTTCTTTTGGTCTGGTCGTTATCAGCACCTTTGAAGTCGAGTCGTTACTCGCGTATCTTTTTCAGAATACAGTGTTTCAGTGTTCTGAGGAGTATATTTATTACTAGTCTTCCCCTATCGAGTCGTTACTCATTTGCGTTGTTGCTGTTAGCTTCGCCCTAGCGCAACATTGTGGTTTGGTAAATACCATTCCTACCAAGGTTAAGTTTGCGACTTGTCACCTGATTTTTTAGTGCAACATTCTGGCATTCATTTCGTATTGGTTGAGTCTAGTCATTACTAGGTTCTACTAAGTCAGATTAATATTTGTCTCGTTTCATCTCTGTAATTCCTTGGTTAGGGTCAATCATTACTTCTTCTTCTGGGTTCGAGATTATCAGGTGATCTCCTTGTTTTGTGGATCCAATCGTTATTGGTATTCTGAGGAGTACTCATTAATGTCTATTCGTTACTAGTTCCTCTTAAAGCATGAGTCATTACTCTTGGTTTTAGTTTGTGATCTAATATGGCACATTCTTTGGAGTATTCTTAAGGTCGAGTCATTACTTGTACCTTCACTCGGTCACCCAGCGTTTCAATAACGTGCCAATGAGTTTTGGTTCAGATAGGCACTATTCCAGTTCAATCGAGACTAGTCGTTACTGTTATTTTAAGAAGTTTGGTCGTTACTAGTCTTCCCCTGTAAGGCCGTTATTCTTTCTCAGATTGCAGCGCTCTAGCATTCTGTGAAGTCTAGTTGTTACTAGCATCTTTTGGTCCTTACCTTTTTCAGAATGCAGCATTCTGTAAAGTCTAGTTGTTACTAGCATCTTTTGGTCCTTACCTTCCTCAGAATGCAGTGTTTTGGTATTCTATAAAGTCTAGTCGTTACTAGCATTTTTTTGTCCTTACCTTTTCCAAGATGCAGCATTTTGACATTCTGTAAAGTCTATTCGATACTAGCATATGTCGGTCTTAACCTTTTTCTTAGAATGCAACATTCTGGAATTCTATGAAGTCTAGTCGTTACTAGCACCTTTTGGCCGTTACTTTTCTTCTTGAGAATGCAATATTCTGGCATTATGTGGAGTCGAGTCGTCACTCGCATATTTTTTCTCAGAATGCAGTGTTCTGGCATTCTACGAAGTCTAGTCATTACTAGCATTTTTGGATCAAGTTCCACAATCTTTGATCCCTATCTATCATCTATAAATTTATTCTTTAGTCCAGTGCTAAGAGGCCATCAAAATTATACCTTGTGTTGATATACATCGTCTTAACTTAGAGTTCAATATTGAGTTTATTTTTGTATTCAATCTCCTTCCACCTTATCGCTCGAAAGGTTGTCGTTGTCAATCTCGCTTTAGGTTTAAGAATTTTGATTAGGGGCAGCTGTTGTACACCAAAAATTTTCCTCCTAATTTCTTTTATCTAGCTTAGGCTTTTGCATTCATCTTCATACATTCCATTAGGTTACAAATATAACATATATTCACGTTCAATAAAGCATTTGAAGTTCAAAAGACCAGTGATTGTCCAAGCAGGTTTTTCACATTCTTTTGAGGAGTGCATATGAAATAAAATTTGATGTTCCTGATTTTCCTTCTATTAGTGAAGGCGTGGAATTAGGATTTTTGTGGTTTCAAGGGGATCCCTTCCATTCAAAAGAAGATTAGGTTTTATATCCTATCATACTTGGGTTTATCAACGTTTTCAATAGGTGTTATTGGATAACCAGACGTGATATAAGGATGGCATTGTGAATTCATTAAGATAAGTCTGGTTGGTTCGCTTATTGTTTGTTACACAAGATTCATGTGGATCAAGGTATTGGATTCATTCTCTCATAAAGGATAAAGGGTGATATTAGGGACTATTTGGTTCATGGTCATCAATTGAAGATTGGGCTCACTTCATGGCTTATCATATAAGTCATTTGCTTTGGGATTCTTTCAATGAATTTGAATTTTGATCATGGAGTTTGCCTTGGATTATTTCAAGAAAAATATCATTTAAATTCAAGTATTGATTTCAAAACATCATCCAATTTCATAACAAATGCAAGCTACAATATCAATTCATCCAAGTTTCCTAGATGTGTTTAGATGACATCAAAGGTTCTTAAGTTCATGATTGGTCAAGGGCTGATTACAAAGGCAAGTTGGAAGGTAACACTTTGAATACCGGAGGGAATTATCAGGGAGTCCTCCAAAGATTACAAAATTCCAAGGTTACATTTTAACACATGTGCTTTTAGACTTTGTCACCATCCTTACATATTTAAATAAAACCTACCAAGAAACTTAATGCTCTAACCTAATCTTTTATCCAAAACCTTCACATTTCAATATCCTTCAAATCCTTGCCATAAATCCATAATTTTGTATCTTCAAAATTTCCTCTTCAAGCTTTTAAAAAACCGTCTGTTCCCGTTTTCAAGAACATGCCTACCAATTAATCAAATGCAACCCTGCACCTATTCATAAAACTAGATTAGTTCCTCTACCAAAAATAGAAAAATACTTCGAAATAGTTCATGTTGCAAAAACTAGATAATTCAAAAACATGTCCAAAACTATTAACAGAAACCAGAAAACTCAAAGAAGATCTAGTTACCAAGCAGAATTTCTAACAGCATAGCAGTTCCAAATACTAAAAGAGGTTTCAGAACCAATGACTTCTAAAAGATTACTAACTGAATCTAGATCACTATAACCGATTCTCCAGTCCATAATTTCCATCAACCTTGCCATTCGTTCCTCTAACTGTTTATAACTTACCAAAACTGTGCCAGCTCACTTATAACAACCATAACAAAAAACTAACTTTCTCATTTTTATAACAGATTTCTAAACCTCTCTAACCGCCTAATCTATACCCTTCAATTCCCTAACAGAAATCTAGATCCAAGGGTTCAGATCAATTCAATCCTAACCAACTTTTACAATACTAACAGATTACAAAACATAAACTCACCTTTGTTGAGACTCATTCTTCATCAGTAGAAGAATCACACCAAAAAACTCAGAACTTCATCTCTTTCTCTCTGAAACCAGTTCTTCGCTCCCTACATCATCTTCATCATTGTTTCTGCAACTTCATCACCGTAATCACCTTTATCAACAACTTGCAATCTTCTTCAATCATCACAAAGAATTCTGTAATAATTCATCAAGCTTCAATAAGTTGCAACAACAAATTCAAAGCACACCTTTCAACACTACTGCAACATGCGCATCCAATTTCATCACACAGCTACGCCAATGTTGCTTCATACCAACATCGCAAACCTTGAACCTGCGACAATTGTATTGATTCGTGCATCAAAGAAAATGCAATAACGCAGTAAAAGAAGAAAAAGATGAAGTAGGAGGAGCAGGTAGAACAAGAAGATTATGCGCAAAAGTGAGAAGAAAATAATCAATGGAAGCTTGTATTACCTGGTGTTTCTGTGAAGTCTTAGAGTTTCTCTTTGATTCTTTGTCGCTGGAAAGAGGTGATCAGTGAAATCGTCGTCCTCGAGTTTTGTGGATAAGAAGCTTGTTCTATTAGAAGCTGAAGCGTCTAACCTAGCACTGAACCAAAATCTTCACGTTTCACATTTCTGGCCCTTTAATTATTTTTTAATTATTATTTTCATTTAACTTGGAATAATGTTTTTAATAATAAATCAAGAATGGACTTGTGTTATGGATGGTGGACCGATTTGCTTAGTCCTTAGGCCCACATTATTGATACAACAAAGCCTTGAACACCAAAAAATGTCATTGGATCCTCTGTAAAAGGGCCTAGCGCCTGGTTTGACTACCACACCACCTGAATCCAGTTACACCCCCTGACTCTTTTTCATTAGATTTTAGTTAATTTCTTTTTCATTATTTTTGTTAATAAAAAATTATTGATATAATCAATACATTAGAAAATGTTAGAGTTAGGACTTTTTCTTTGCTAATTTTTTTTATGATAAAGAGTTACAAAATCAATAAAAAAAACTTGTTAGATTTTTAATGGATTTTAGAAATTAATTTGTGATATAGATGTTTAACTTCGATTATCATTCCTTGTTATTTCTAACTCATTCGTTGACATGTGCACAGTGTTTCAAGAGAGTTTTCGATCATTTATTTCGATTGAAAAGCATTTGCATTCCACTTTATTTGTGGATTTGAAATTCACTTCTGACGTGATTTATCTTGATTCTCATTACATGGGAAATATACATTTCTTGTGTTTTTGTATGGATTATGGATTCTTGTGCAGGTGTATTGATTGTGATGCAGATGCTTCCGATGCACACATTGCACATGTGATTTATTTTCACATTGCTGATTTCTGACTTGCTTTGTTAGTTGATGCTAGCTTGCTCGAAGTTTTCCGGGTTTCTCTGCTATGCTTGCTTTTCTAAGAACTATTGTTTATTCGGTATCATTCTGCTTCCAGTTTATCTTTTCGTGTTTTACTGATTTCTAAATATTATGAGAAGTAGGAAATAAAGAGCGTGCGCTCGAAGTTGTTGTTTAAAGTCCTGTAGCAGAAACATCTTTCTTCATGTTATATGTGTTTGTTTAAAATCCTACCTTTGAAGTAGGTATTCTGCATGTGTGTTTACATCTGTTCTCACATCTATTCCCCCGTCCCTTATTGAAGTCCTCAAAAGGAGGCGAGTGGAAAGGGTTCGCAATCAACCCCCGCACATTCTAGTATGTGTCATCCTTTGTTCGTGACGCACCGTGATGCTTTGGAGTTGTGCCTACTCTTGTTATCGAGTCGTCAAGTTGAAAAGGGTTTCACAATCAAACCCCCACACTTTGTCTTGAGATCACGTTGGTCGACATTGACGCTACGTGTTTATCACTGTCCCCCTTACTCTTCATGCCTAGTAATATTATACCATTGTATAGATGCTTTGTTCCCTTCCCACTTGTTTGCTTCGGTTGATATGACCCATTGGCTAAAGCTTCCTGCTTCATCCTTTTTCTCACTTGTTTGCCTCGGTTGATATGACCCCTTGGATAAAGCATCTCTACTGTATTTTTTACCTACCTCTATCATTTATATCTTAGTTAGGCCTTTACCCGAGTTAGTGTGAACTACTCATGGAATGTGTGTGATCTTTTGAGCTTGCTTGTTTTTTCATCCTTGTACATACCATGTTCCTTTAGAATAGGAATTTGTATGCTTCCTTTAGGATCGCTCGATTAGAGTAGCTTTCGAGCTAGACATTAGGATACGTATCTATGCATGCTAACATAGGGTATATATTTCCCTTTCAAAACTCAACCTTACGATCCATCATTGTATGATAACATTAGGGGTAGATCTAGGATAGTCTCCCTTAGATGTTTTTCTTTTCTTTTGCATCCTTTCATTAAGACTAAAACTCTTTTCTTTGCAAATCCATAAAACATATAACAACTTTCAAATCCTTATTTAAGGTAAATGATCGGGACTTTATGAGTCTATCGGGGTACTAACTGCAAGTATACAGTTTAGTCGTTCTAGTTTTAAATGATTATCGAACCCACGGAGACTGAGGATCAATCGCATACGATCTAATGCTACAGTTTGTTTAACTAAGCGATGAATATTTGATTTTATGGGGGAAATAGTTTAATTAAAAATAATAGTAATAGTTATACTGGTATGTGATAGTCGGACTTCGAGAATTCGGTGAATCGCTTGGCCTATAAAGTATTTTGGTAAAAACTAATTGTTTAAAAACCTGAGACATACACTCTCGTGTTCATGAAATAAGTCATGCTACTAAACCTAGTGGATGCACTTTAAATTTAATAACACTTTTTGAAAACAATTTGAGTTTAATTAATTTATTAAAACACTCTCGTGTATTTAAAAATTATTTCGTTACCACTATCTGGGTTGAACCCCAGCTCTCACATGCAGGTTCTTGCCTTAATTAATTTCCCACTCTCGTGGCAAAATCGTGTTAATTATCCTCTCACTCTCGTGACAGGGTAGTTAAATTAAACATGGAAATTGGAAACCAGAAATTGTTTTATAATTATTTTTGGCCAAGGTATCACTGAATTCTTTCGGTTCTTAAGAGTCACATACCGGTACGAATAATTTAGCCGGACATAATATATTTAATAACAATGCAATTCAAAATATAATCCATAGAAATAATTGGCATAATACAAGAATGAATAAATATTAATTGCAATAAAAAAACCTAGAAATAACGTTGCTATGGTAATCTTGAAATGTTACAATATTCCTTGCTGCTTGATCGAAATCAACAAATTGTGTTAATTCTTAAATGAAGAATTAACACCCTAAAACTAATTCTTGAAATAGTGTTGAAAGTAGAAATTACAGTATGTAGAAAATGCTCAAAAACAAGGAAATAAAAATAATTGTAAAAGTAGTAATTTTGTTCTGGGAGAATTCCTTCGACCCCTTTCCCTTTGCACTATCACACATATATATAAGAGAAAATATAGCAGTTGAAAGAATCTTGAGAAAAGGCTTGAGTGGAGGAAATATAGGGTGCATGGTTACTGAGTGGAGGGAAAATAGGAGAACACTTCTGCCCTCACGTTGCCCACGTCTCCACCAATTCACAACGTTCATCTTTACGCGCGTGACGGTCGTCACAGGTGGGTGACGGTCGTAATGCGCTTGAATAGCGCATTACGCTCGTCAGTGATGTGTGACGAGCGTTGTTTCAAGTTGGGGGGTCGTTACGGTAGTCACAGGGTGTGACGGTCGTCACTGCTCCAAAATCTCCAAACTTTGCAGATTTGGTTCTTTTCTCTTTGTTTATTGTCTAGCCTCCTTCATGTAGTCCTTTTTCATTAGTTTGAGTTGACAAATGTTGTACCTGTGAAAAGACATAAAAACTCGGAATAATCGGGAGTTAGACGACTCAATGTATTATAAAATCAGTAAAAAGCGTAGTAATTATATGATACGATTTCTCGTTATCAAATTTTCCCATACTTAAACCTTTGCTTGTCCTCAAGCAAATAGTCATTCAAAAGGTCGGACAAGTTTTGTCAAGCGCATATGCATGACATACCTTGGATTTTTAAAGCAATTTCGAGAAATCCTCGTCGGTTCGGCCAATACTTAAGTGAAACACTAAAGATATGCTAATGACACAAGCAATAAGCTTAGTCGTAGGCTTCCATTTCAAACGAGCTATCCAACAGTTCCGTTATAATTCTGCCCAGAGTTCCTCGTATCTATTTCACCCGGTTTCGTTCTGGCGCAATCACATTAAGCCCTTTGTCTTAGCATGCACATAGTGGAGTAACCAGTTAGTGACTTTGATCCTTTTAGCACGGGGTCTGGTACACGAATGTGGCAACCCTACATATGTTATCCAAGTTGGAGGTTGTGGGGGATCGGGCCGTAGCACGCCCTACCGAGTTCAGAACCAGATACCTCTTAACCAACCAACACTGGATTCCTTCGTTATTTTCTCAACTCTTATATGTGACCGTATATTTTGGTGCACAAAATTTCTTTTCTTTTAGAAGCGAGATAGGAAGGATATTTTAATGATCAGGCATCAAACACTTATATTCATCGATTCTCCACGTGGTTTGTGTCAAGACGGTGCTGACTGCTAGTATAAACTACTAGGGGTTACTGTAGAACTAAAAAAACTCTAGATGTCGGTATAATGGTTATTGAAACGGATCGCGTAAGTAGGAAGTCTACGGTGTCATAATCATATCGATCTTATTATGTCGTTTTCGGGTTTCCTAACTGGGGATTTCGTTAAAATAGGTATGTCGGGCTAATGCGAAGATAAAAATTTTTGGTATGGCTGAATAAAGTGAAGAATTTAAATCGAGATATATCATAAAAATTACTAGTTTATAAAGGAAGGAAAGGTACCTCTCCCACACTAAATCCGACATTGTCCTCAATGTTGCGGTATATAGGCGGGGAAGTACAATTACAAAAACAAACGGAAAGGAAATGAAACAGAAAAATAATAAACTACATAAAAAATAAAGAAAAATTACTGGTGACCACGTCCTCTACTCCTGGTGCGAGAGCGTCTGGTAGGAGTGGCTTCTGTGTCAGTATCTTGGAAACTAAGGGTGCTGACGTCCAGCCTTAAGGCGTTGAGCTCTGATAGGGCCTCATCTAATCTCTCATTCATGTTCCGCTGCCCAGTCAAGATCTGAGCGTTTTGAGCGCACAGAGACTCATATTGCTCATGTTGCCTTCTTTCAAGCGCTGCGCTCATTTGGTTTTGCATATGAATGGCGCGGAGGATCTCTTCAAGAGTAATAGAAGGTGGTGCAGATGAGGATCCTGGAATGTCGTGGACGGGAGGGGCACTATCTAGCTCTTCTTGCATTTCGTCTGTAGGGGCTGCAGGTTGGTCTTCATGAGTAGGTGCACGCCCCGCGGGAGCTGCAGGATCGAACAACCAGTTTGCTCGGTTTCGTGGATCGATTCGGTCCCTGCAAGGCAAAATGATGTTCTGATAAACAGTGTTCCTGATCACAGGGTGGAATCTGCCATCCTCCCGCTCATAAATAAGATGTGCGGCTTTGCAGTGATCCAAAGTTAGCAAAGCCGGTGCCATAGAAGGCATAATCGCGAGAGCAGCACCGTAGTTCAGACCTATGGCAAGTGAAGTGATCAGCCCTCCGAAATAAAAGGGTTTTCCGCCTCTAGCACAAATAGAGTGGATGTGAGCGAGTAAGAACAGGGCGGCGTTGATCTTTTGCCCTGTGAACGCGCAATGCATAAAGAAGAGCTCATTGGAGTTGAGCTTGTGGTTGCTGTCATGGGCGAAGATTATGTTGCTGAGGATGCGGTGGAAATAGCGGATGACCGGATTATGAATGTGGGTGGCATTTAGGTGGTCGTAGGATCCGGCACGGATATTCGTCAAACTGTGCCATAAGTTGAAGGCTTCCTCACCAAAATTATCCGGCACCCGGAGATGGACACCTTCGTCCGAATCGAAGCCTAAAAGCCACGCGATGTCGGATTGGGGAAACTCGTGCTCAATGCCAAACATGCAAAATTTGGCCAGGCCTGACAGTTGGTTCGTGGCACCTGGCGGAGTGATGTAAACAAAGGAACTCAAAAACTCAAGAGTAAGAGTTTCATAAATCGGTCTTGGTTCGCGGTACAAGTTCCATAAATCCACACTCTGCAACAATTGGCGGACACTGTCAAGTAGTCCCAAACTCCTCAAACAGTCAATATCAACGTACCATGTAGGTTGGAGACCTCGGCGTTGAAACTTCTGAAATTTGACCCGTTGGTTTTCTCCTTGTTCGTCGGATCTGAAAGTGAGGGCGGGAGCTTGTTGATTGTTGGCCATGGTGTTTGTAGAACTGATTGCAAAGGGTTTGGAATGAAATTGGGGTAGTGGGTGGATAATATATTAGTGTTGGGAATTTGGAAGTTTGAGAAAAAAATGGAGTGGAGTGGGTATTTTTCGTGTGGTTCTGTAACAATGGAGGAAATGTGGTTAAGAAGAGAATGGTTGGAACGGTTCTGTAATAGCCGTTCTGATATATTATGCGTGTGACGGTCGTCACGAGGGTGTGACGGTCGTAACATGGCAAAAATGTGTGTTACGCTCGTCACGAGGGTGTGACGGTCGTAACACGTTCAATGTTATTAATGAGAAGACCGTTACAAGACCGTTAGAGATGTTTATATAATTTTTTTATTATTTTCTTAATATTCTAAGTTTGAAATATTCTAATAATTAAAGTTTTGAAATATTTTGAAATATTCTAATAATTAAAGTTCTGAAATATTATTTACTAACACATAATGAAATAATATTTGCGTGAAATATAAACAGTAAATTAAAAGAAAATAAAAAATATACTGAAAATGAAAATGAATGAAAAAATAAAATAAACTTGGTACTTGATAAATAATTGAATTAATCCATAAAAATTGTTTCGAAATAACTAAAAATAAAAATGATAAAATGCTAAAACAACTAGAATCCACC